AAGGACTTTAACCTTAAAAAAAAAACAATGCTCATGTAGGTCTATACTAGATACTAAGGCCCTATAGGTTCATGCTGTATACCTACATCCTACATGGAATCTTTTGGTTCCCAAGTCTGACAAGACTGAAATCCAACAACCCGGGTCTGAGAATTTCCTCAACCCTGAGACTGCGGGTCTTGTATGGAAGCCCTAGCCGGCAGAAAGATAACGTAGCCTAGAGATCCTGATAGCCCAAAGTAGGCAGCAGTCATAGACTTTAGGGCCCAATGTAGGCATTATTTGTATACTTGGATGCCTAGAGGTAGGGTTGCAAGTTTATTTGGGCAAGTCTCCTGGAATGCCCCTTACGTACTGCATACCGACGTACTCTTCTTCCTTTCTGCTGGATCCCTGAGGTTAATGGCCGTACTGCCATTGATGACATCCTTGCTGAGTGCCGGAAGTCCCAGGCATGTGGGCATGTAGGGCTCAGGAATGTACGGTTTCAGCGTTCAGGCTTCTTGAGGCCCCCATGCTCCAAGGTGAGAAATTTGCAGTTATTATGCGCGCTCTCAAGGCCTGAGGTACGAAATGCCAAGCATGTGTCATTATATACTCGGAAATGTAGCCTGTGCCAAGAAGGTAGGACTTTCTGCTACCCTTTTGCAAGTCTCACGTAGACAGACGAACCAGGAACTTCTGGCTCATCTGCATATCCCGAGATCAATGGTCCTACACATCAACATTTGTTTGAATGAGGTGCACCGCAGTCACGCAAGTCATAGACCTCTTTATACTTGGTCCTTGCTCCACTGTAGCGCTCAACCAAGCCTATAACGGTTCCACATGTCAGTAAGTGCGGTACCAAGAAAGAATTCCAAAGCGGAGATCTATTGCGAGACAGCGCCTCTGACAAGCCTGTGCCAGGTGCAGCGGGTTGTCTTCAAACGCGCCGCGAGCATCCTCAAACCGAATCTTTGCCGAGATAAGGAAGAAAGCGGGACCCATCGATCGTACCTCACTGGGTTCTTTCAGGAATACCCGAGAATGCAAGAGCAAATCTTGCAGCGGCATGTTTCAAGGATTTCGAAACATCAGAAATGACCCTAGCCTTTCTAAGGACGCTTCATGTTTCAAAAGACCTCTGATCGTGCATTCACTTATGTGGTTACTACAGGGATACGAGATGATATGGCATGTATATGGGCTTCGTATAGGGGCTATACAGGGATTGCACAGGGGGATTTGCCTATCCAGGAAGCCTGGAGCAGATGCCAAAGCACTGGAGTATGGCCATGCGCCAGATCTATTAGAGAAGCCTAACCCAGAGGGTTCCCACGTACCCAATAATCAGATACTTGAGTTTTAGGTAACAGCAGTAATGGCACAGGCTTTGGGTAATTATATGATTATTGGGTACTTGGACCCTTAGAGTAAATGATTCGCCGGGCTAATGTCCTAGGTTTCTTGTACGATTCCATAAAATGTTTACCAACATTAGTGCCCTAGGTTCCTTGCATGATTTCATAATACATTTACCAATATAATGGTTCTGGGTTCCTTGTATGATTACATAGTATCGGGTACCTCAAGCAGACGTGAAAAGATGATATTTGCAGGTAAAGAGGCCCCCCTATTAGGCCCATGCGTGCTGCTCTGCAGCGTCCTTCCGAAGCCTGCGCGGCTTGTTCAAACTTGAAAACTCGAAAGTATATACCAATATACTTATAGGGCCTATAGGTATAAAGTATATACCTACATTGGCCCTTTGGGAAAGAGCATTCAGTCGCATCTAAAGACGTGTCTGGACACACTCTCCCCAGTCCATCTGGGCGAAGGCGTGTCCATGCGTTGGGGCATTGAAGTGGCCACCGCTCAATATGACTAGTCCGGAACAAGCGGAAACGGACATCCCCATCCAGACCCCGATCCAGAGGTCCGGAACAAGTCCCCGAATTCCGTTCCGGACCCCGCCGTTCCATGCTATCATCAAGAAGACTATGCTGTGCTAACAAATCGATCCAGACCCTCCGGATCAAGTGTGCGATCCAGACCCTCCGCATCAGACAGCATGGGGACGTTTATGCGCGGCGCGTGGTTTTGATCAGTAGCCAGTTGCTTTGGTACCTTTTCTGTTTCACCCGCAAAGGTCCCAGCAGAACCTCGCGAATATTCTTTGGGCTTTTGCGAAGGTGGCTGTCCAGCTGCTGGGCAGCAGGATGCGGGAAAGCTGGCAGTGGATGCAGGGACCCCCCAAGGCCTCGATCGGGTGCGGTTCGGGCCGTGGTTGATGACGCGCTGCTCACCATTCAGGCAAGCAGTCAATTCAAAGTGAATGGTGCCGCTGCTAGATGTTGCCAGGGCCTAGCTGCTAGGGGCATGCTGGATGCCTGCAGGTCAAGGTATATTGCAAGTCTTACCTCAGCTTTGCAATGCCCTGCCTGCATGTTGTCCACTTGGGTTTATACGCAATGCAGTCCTGGAGTGCCCTGAACATCACGAATCTGACGTGGTCCTTTGCCAAGCTGGCTGTTCGGGACCAAGAGATCTTCGCCGCAGTGGAGACTTGGTGAGAGCAAAGGGTCTTCCAAAGAGTGCCGCGGGAACATGAAGAAGTTGTATGCAATGCAAGTGCAAGGCCAGGTTGCTCTGCTGACTCCTAAGGAACATGAATGCCAGCAGAAGATGTTGCACTTCTCCTCGCAGAATCTTGTCAATGTGGCCTGGGCATTTGCCAAGGCGCTGAGCCACCTCCACCCGTACTTTGCAGTTTTCTCTTGAGTCCTTCATATGACTCCGAAAGGGTCGGCAAGTTTGAGAGTCACATTTGTTCTCATTGGAGGTGGTGCTGGCGCGGCCCAACTTCTTTGAGCGAGTGGCACGTCGAGCAGTTGAGCTGGCACCGGACTTCAACCCGCAGAATTGCTCAAATGCTGTCTTAATCTCAGTGACACGTCTCAGTTGCCTCACAAAAGTGGGTTGACAGTCTGGGATCTGGACCTCCAGGTTTGGGCCTTTGCTGCGGTGGGCCTGGCAAGCCCGAACCTTCTCGCCGCCACGGCACGTCGTGCCGAGGAGCTTGCGCCAGAGCTCGCTGCCCAGGCTGTGGACTGGTAAACCATTTGGAGACATTTTGCTCGTGGCATGGGCATTACCTGGGCATCTGCGGGAGCTGACAGGACTTGGCAAACCTTGCCTGGGCATTCGCAAAGTCCCCTGCTCCAGATTTTTAGTTTTCGGCTGCGTGCCCACTGTGTGGAGCACTTCTGACTTGTGTGGAAGGCTGGGTAAGCGTGATGCAGTTCTTGAAGAGACCGTGGCGTCGGAAGTGGTGAGGAAGGCCCGCCTGCATCAGTTAATCCCAAACAGCAATGCGTCCTCCAGCAGCATGCAGAGTCAATTCTACGCGAAGAATCACTATTTATAAATTGTAGTTGTTTCCCACATCTTTGCCAATCCTTAAGTACCACGTCCTGAGTTCGGACTTCCTGATAATACTCAGTCACCTCCCAGCAGGTGGACAGCTTCTCGCCACAGCACTTGTCAATCATCGTGTACTCCTTCGCCCGGCGCATACTTTGAAGATTATTTCAACAAGTCTCCGGTAGCCTCTCTCCCTGAAGGCGCAATTGTTGGCTGCCGGCCCTTCGGCACAGCCCCCGAGTGGAGGAGCAGGCTTCTCCAAGTCAAAGGCCGCTCACGTTGCAGCACTATACAAGCTGACGCAAGGCCTGCAAGCTTTCCCACGAGCCTTTGGAGAGGCCTGGGAGTTTTTCCAAGCCATCTGCAATGTGCAGTTACTGGTGGGGAAGGATGTTCGGCGTCTTTCCAATGCGCCTCCCGTCCAATCTGCACCAGCTATGGTTGAGGCACGGCACATTCCTGGCCTGAAAACCTCATCACTGATTCCCATGCGCCCCTTGACGACACTTCTTGTACTGAAGGCCATCCTAACAGCAGCATCAAGGCGTGTGAGGCCGGCTTGCGCAATCTGGGACAAATCAACCAGGACGCTTTCTGCAAACGTGACCTGGCAGGGAGTTTGACGCCCAGGGCCTGACAAACCTTGCCCAGTCACTCGCAAAACTGGACATGCAGAGGGATGGCCTCCACAACGCTTTGGTGGAGGCAGAGTGCTGCGTATGCAGCAGCCGTGGGTTGATGGATGATGGATGGCACAACAGGAAGCAACGCCAAAGATAGCTTCTTTCACGAACCAGGAGCTGACGTCTCAGACTGACATCCTCTCATCATTTTTGTATTCTCTCTCGCATCTAAGGCTGGCCATGTTTGCCTGGGCTGCGGCTCGGCTTGGCCGCTTCACGGGACGGGCTTTGCGGCTGGTCGCAAAGGAGACCAAGGCCCGGCTCCAGGACTTGACGGCACAGGACATCACGAAGGTCTGAGGAATCAGAGGAGCTTTCTGCAAGAGAAGCTGCCCAGGACCTCAGTGTTCTGGTCTGGTCCTTTGCTCGAAGTGGTACCGAGGACAGCTTGGTCAGATGAGTGGAGTGTCTGCTTAAGCTGTCGCGCTTTCAGGACACCCAGGACACGGAACGAAGCCGTGCGGCAGCAGGCACGCAGTGAAGGGATTGGAGCAGCATTTGCTCAAGAAGAAATGCTTGATGTGGCTGCTTTTTGGGTTCGAATTGTTGGACAGGTGCAGGAATGTTGAACACCTTGACGTCATCGGTGATGCGCCTCCTGCGCGAGCTTACACCGCAAGACCTTTCGACAATCATATGGGGAGCCTGGGCTCTATGTTTTTAAGTGCTGTGGCAGCCTTTCTTGGTGCTTATCCATGCTGCGAAGCGGCAGTGCTCCTGTGAGGATATGCAACTGCGGGTGTGGAAGCTACATCCATGATCGAGGCTGTGGCGAACGAGTCCGTCAAGAAGGTCGCCAAGTTCGCTCCGCAGGACCCCAAACTGCTGAGGTAAAAGATGACAGATTCTCAGTTGCGAAATGACTCTGAGATGACATGAGGATATGGCTAACGTGGCCTGGGGGTTGGCCAAGCTCGGACTCCTTCACGAGCAGCTGCTGGAGGTCCTGTCGCGAGACTTTGTGGCGAGGGCCCACGAGTGCCAGGCGCTGTGGAAACGTGGGGAAGCTGGTGAAGTGGGTGGGCATGTAAGGCATATGTATGGCGTAGTTAGGGCGTGATGTCGTGTGAGTTCAGGCTCAGCATCTTTCCATCGCCGCCTGGTCCTTCGCCAAGCTGGGCGTGGCCTCGGAGGAGCTCTTTGAGGCCATCGCCCGGTCATTGGCAAACCGCGCTGCGGAGCTGGACCCGCAGGGCCCAATGCCCAGCTGACCCTGTCGCTTCGCTCCTATCGTTGCCATATGTTGCCATCTTGGATGCCGGCCCAGGCATCGGAAACAGCCTTTGGGCCTTTGGGGTGCTTTGCTTCTGGCACCCGCCATGCGTCAAGGCGCCTGGGCATGCAAATTAGTTCCGCAGCGAGCATTGGCGTTTTTTTGAACAGGCAGTGGGCAGACGAGCCGTCACTGCCGTCAACGAGCTGACTGTGCAGGAGCTTGAAAGCCTTTCAGACTGATGACTGCAGGGATCGCGACTCGCAAGCCAGGAGATGGCAAATGTGGCATTTGGCTTGCACACGTTACTGCGCTGGAGAAGGCCTGGAAAATGTTGCCTGCTGGGAGTCCGCCGGGACTTGTTTCAGTCCCTGATCGGGCAGTGTGTTTTAGGATTCTAGCTATTGACGCCACTGCGGCGCCTCGCAAAGAGTAGCATAACCTCAGCGATCAGACCAGTCATTGAACACATGCGCGACGGGTTATCAAGCCTGCTCGCATCATATCTGCTCTGGCTTTCACCTGCGCGCGCATGACCACTTGAAGGCCAGCTACAGACGACGAAGCTGAGGATGACGCCATGATGCTGACAAAGTTGCTTCTGGAGCGCGGGGAACGATCATGAACGATCTAGAATTCCTGATGTCAGACATTGGTAGTGCTAGAGCAGTCTTTCACAGCATCCATGCTAGAGGACTTCCTCGCCGCCTCAAGCAGTTTCTTTTGCCGCACAGGCCTGAGCTACTTTCAATTAAGTTGCACAGGCATGTTTGCTTGTCATTTACATGAAGAGCTTTTAGCACATTTATCGAAGCTTTGTTCTTCACTGTAGGCCAGAGGACCCACTTTGTATGGTAATTACAGTTTGTTTCAGGCATGCATGTTCATCTGGAAGAAATTGGAGATCTTCCGGAGGGCCGCATGCAAATCCCTCTTCCATGAGTACGACATTCTTTGAAACTTTGGCCTGGCCTGAGCAAGGGCCGCATTCAGACCGTAGCGGAGCTAGCAGCTAGCACAGCCCTTGGCACTGGCAACCATAGCTCCTTTGGGGCCGGAAGCCACTGCTCAGCCCAAGTGCTCATGCGAACTTGTTGCAAACGCATTTTGCAAACAAACGGCAACGCAACCTCACATCCTGACCGGGGCGGGGCAGACGGAAAGCCAGGCCCTGGAGGGATTAGGGCGGTGGGGTTGCTGAGCGAAGATGCAGGACGGTGGAAAGAAAGCTTTCTAGTGGCCAGCCTATGGCCAGTTGTGCCGAATTTCCCTTAAACCTGCGCTGCGTTGATACATACGTCGGACACTTTTGGACCAGCGCGAGTGTGAAGCTCAGGACGAGGCATGCCTTCGTCAAATGTCCTCTGCTCTCTCCTCCCCGGCCAAGGCAAAGCTGGCTTGGGGGATGGTGCCAGCTGGGCTGACTTCGCGAACGTTGCCAAAGCCATGGCACAGGAAATCCAAGCCATCAGATGCAATCAATTTTGATGCAAGTATGGTATAGTATAGTATAGTATAGATTAGTATTAGTATTAGTATTAGTATAGTATAGTATAGTATAGTATAGTTTTGTATAGTATAGTACAGTATAGTGTAGTAGCAGCTTCTCATGGCCAATGTTGGCTAGGAGGCTGCGCATGCGCAGTCGGATGTACTCAAAGAGCTTGAAGTTCTCCACTCAGCAGCCAATAAGAAAGCAGGAGGCAGGTCACTGCACAACAAGGCTGTCCAGACACTTGCAGGCTCGGTTTCGTCGGCTGCATTTGGAAAAGCTGCTGGAGGCTTGTCCTGGGTGGGGTGTGGAGTTGGATGCTGATGATGGTGAAAGATGTAAATGACGCGAGGAGCTGCTTCGCACACAGCGTGGAGGAGAAGGAGCCCTGTCGCGGGTACAACAGGCACTCATATCACTCATGTGATCTTCGGTCCAAAATTCAAGCTTTGTCTCCGCAGTCAAGCCCCGCCAGGTCCTTGATGATGCCTCTGTCAATAGTACATTTGGAGGCCCGTGTCTGCTCTGCCTCTAGCAGTTGCTGCATTTGCGTCTTCTGCAGGTGTGCCGCACCTTGGTGAGCAGTACTCCCGAGAAGCTTTGCAGCGGTTAGGGCCCGGAACTCATCCATCCAAACTGCGCTTCCTGCCAAACCCCGGCAGCAGATTGCAGGCTCATGCCCAAGGAGTCGGGAGGAACCAGCTTGCCTGAAGCTCAAGGGATTGGGGTTGAGCGCTATAAAAGGGCTTAGTCAAGATTGGCTTTGCCTGGCAGCGGTATGTTGTGTCAAGCTTTGGGAGGCGTTTTTCACATCTGCCAACATGATTTGAATCGACTCAACTTACAGAGCGTCGAAAGCTGTCAGATTCATCTTGCAGACCCGATCTAGAATCTGGTTGACGCATGGCCGATCCTTAACCAAAGCAAGACACAGCGACAACCTATAGCATCAATGCATTCCATACGACGAGTAAAGTTGTCAATCCTGGTCTTCTTCCCTCACAGCTGTCAATGAGTCAATCGACCATGCAGACATGAGGTCGGAAGCGGCTGTACTGGTCTCAGATTGGCCATCTCTTCGTGGTGCCATGTCACAAACAGTTTGAAAGGCCCCGGCAAGCTGGGTGGAGGATGCACGCAGGCAGTGGGGCCGCCCTGCTGGTGGAAGACGAGAGAAGATGCCTCCGTCTGCAGCATCTGCAGCTCAGGTGTAGAGCTACTCTGCGCACCTGGCAAATTCCCGCTACGGACTCTCCGTCATGGCAAACCATCAAAGTTGTTGGTTTTGGTCGTTTCCATCTCGCCTTGGCTTTGCAACCACGGTGGCCTTGCCTGTGAATTTGCAGGATACCGTGGTGGCACATGTGTCTTGGGATGTCATATACTTGGAACACACGTGGCGGAACACTGGCATCTTGGCAAGATGTTCTTGACCACGGTTCTAAAGTTGCCTGGGGCAGCTGCCATGGCCATCCAAGATTATCCGAGGTAACGTGTACCATGCCATCAACTCAGATTCCTTCTTTATGCTATGCTTGTGGGCAACCAGCTGTGTCAGGCTGCCTCACAACGAGCACAGGCACGGGGCGCTGCCCCTGCAGCAGTGCCGAAGGCCATCGAGGAGACCGAAGAGACAAAGTGATCAATCCCTACATTGGAAGATTGCACTGTGGAGACTTCAATTCAAGGGTGTGGGGCCACAGCTGATAGGCAAGGAGAGATGAACTCTTTACGACAGGACCTTCTGGCTCCACTTCGCCAGCATTTGCGTCGCGACACGCATCCAGAGCGCTTGGCCCTGCTTGAGCTCATGCACTCCATTGCCCAGGCCAGGAACTAGTCAGACTAGTCGGGGGTCTCAGTATCATTTCTGCCTCCGCTTGAAAGGCAGATGAGGACTCGGAGGCAGGAGTTTCAATGGGCAGCATTGCCAATCTCGCACTTGAATAGTTTCAGTGGGGACTTACGCAGCACAACGATCACCCTCCAGCGCAGGACCTTCGACCTTTTCTCAAGAACTGCGAGGCCACCTACCAGTGGACGTAAAAGAATGGAACAGATCGCACTTTCAGCTTTTTTGGCTCAGGGATCTGTTGAGGTCTATGTCTCACAGCCGGGTGCTTACACCTCAAGCCAAGTCTTGCGGAGTAGAAGCGCCTCAAACCTAGGTATCCATGTGTGTCTGATTCCCAGTTGCCGCAGCAAGCATAATAAAGCGAGCATCGGTTCCAATGTGCATAAGTTTTCAAAACATTGCCTACAGTAGTGTTTGGCACCGGGATCTTAAGGTCATGCTTGGCTGTCTTCTGCCAGTTCAGACACTGGTGCAGGGATCTCAATGCACCTCCATCGCGGCGCTCGTCTGAGTCAGTGCAGCGCTAAGCCAAAAGGTCCGAAAATAAGCCTGGAAGTTGCCTTCGATAATGACGGACACTCAGAGTGCGGGTTGCAGACAGTTCTTTGAAATCAAGCCAGCTGTGGTCCTGCGCTAGGCCTGGACAACTTTTTGCGGCCGACCACGTTGTCAAATCAAATGAGCCAGGACGTAAGGATACTGCTGTGAGGCCTTCAAACATTGGTGGCCTGTGTGGGTGAAAGCCAGCCGAGCACTCATCCGAGTGCAGGTAGCTGCCTTTGCTCGAGCTGGATCATGCTGTCAAAGGGCCACGACTTCAAGGCGCATTGTGAACAACTTGGCAAAGCCTTTCTGCCAGGGGGACACGTTTTGTACAGACGTGGGTGCACTTGAGTGACTAAGTTGGGAGTCAGGCGGCTGAGAATTGTAGTATTTCTGGCTGGAGGCAGGTTCAGCTTTCTGAGGTCCTGATGTTTTCAAGGTTTTGGGGTTTGTACCAGGAGATTTCCAGAGCAGGGCTTTATGTGGAACATAGGGATTGGATTTTTTGTTTGGGGCCTACCGTAAGTTTGATGGTTTTTGTTGAGGATTCAGTGAGTCAGGCTTCAAGTGTGGGGCAGTGTAGGATATGACCGAGTATGACCAAGGTTGCGGCTGTGGGCACTGAGGACGCTGGGGGTTTGGGACTGCGTTGGAGCTATTCAAAATATTGGGCCTTGGATTTTGCTATAGGGGTGTTAATCAGGGAGGAGACTGCGACAACGTGATGTAGACGCTGTGGGTGCTTCGGGTGCTGGGATGGCTGAGGCCGCAGAAGCGGCGGTGGTTGGGTAGTGAAAAAGCACCGGAGACCAATGCATGCAGCGCCTCCCCAACAGCGGGGTCGGTGGATGGGGATTCTCACGGCAGCAGGAGCTGAGCCAGCAGTTCAGGCTTGCATTAACGAGGGCTCCTCAAAAAGGAAGCTCTTATCAGGCATATCAGGCCACAGGCATTCAGGCTTGGTGAAGTGCAGGTTTTGCCACGCGGCGGTGGGACCCGCGTGCACATGCGCTGCAGCAGGTGTGCAACACAGCTTCCCTGCTGCTGCTTTCCTGTCCTCAGCTCAAGCAAGTTTCAGGCGATCATCCATGTTAGCAATGCGATGAAGAGCTCTGACGTTGGTCAGGCATTGCATAAAAAAAAGCCCGTTCGTGATCTTTTCTGGATGCTTCGGTCATGCCTCGAAGTCTTTCGCAGCATCCTACAGGTCTGCTGCGTGGCCATCACTGATGGCCGTGCAAATGTACCTTCGGCTGTGAGGCAGGGAGACCAGAATGCCCTGGATTGAATGAGGCGTGGGTGGAGTGGGGTGTTCAGGGTCTTGTACGTATCTGATTCCAGCAAGCTTGCTACTTGGACTGACGTACATCTTCTTATTGCAGGCCGGTTGGGAGGGTTGGCCATGCCCCATGATGCTTCAAATTGTAAACATACAGCCGAACAGGTCCAACAAGGCTTTTTTCCGTTTTTTTAAAGCTGGCTGGAACGGCTTTGCTTGTGTGGCCTGGGATTGGCTTGCTCCCAGCTTGCCTTCCTTTTGTTCTTCCCTGGATTCCTCTTGTTCTTCCCTGGAGGCTGAGGATTTGCAGTGTTGGATGTTCAAAGTCTTCCTTTCTTCCTGCCAACGCGACGGACGTCCGCATGACGGCCTGTCTGCTATGGCCGTTGTTCCAATCATGGGTCACATGTAAAAAGCTGCAGCTCACTGCCCGGTCTGGGTGCTTTGCATGCTGGAGCTCGGGTAAGTGCTTTGATAAGGGAATGCCGCTGTCCTGCTTTGCTTCAAGTCAGCCCCAGCGTGATTCTGCATGAGGTTTCTCTTCACTTCACGATGGATTCACCTCCTCCCACAGTTTCATCATTTCGCGCAGTGCTTCTGCAATGCTAGCTTTGGTGTCAGCACGCAAACGAAACTTGATTCCGACAAGGATGAGAGTGGCAAGATGAAGAAAGTCCCAAAGGAAGATCTACAGGCTTCCAGCCGTTGCCCTTCCATGGGGTGTTTCTTTCTGACATAGCCGCTGAATCAGGAAGAAGACTTCGTCGACAAGATGAGGGCGCTGGTCCGAGTGCTTACAGCTTCTAGGTCAACACAAGTGAGCGCGGATTACAGGCCCGAGCCCACATTTTATCAAAGCTGAAGCTGAAATTGCTTCAGAGCTCTGCTGTGTCCCATGCAAAGCAGCATGAAGCAGCAGTGTGTCACAATTATTCAGGATCCCTAGACGCAGATACGCAAAAACAGATTCTGGCTGACAGTTAGCCGAGGATCCGCTAGAGAGAGACCGACCCGCTTCTGCCTCAAGCGAGTCAGGCAGGATCCTGGAAATTGGAATCGCTGGGACGACGCACTGGGATTGTTTTGTCATGATCTTCTCCAATCAGTCCAAGCTGCAACACAAGCCGTGTAGACCTCTTCCTCGCCTCTCTCAGGCTCAAGCTGAATCACGTGAGTGCCATCCAACGGCAACACCAACGCAAAGACTCGATAGTAACCTTCATCCCTTACCCCAAATGTAGATGGGTGGACCCAGCCAGGTGCTCGCCAACCTTGAGTAGACATGCGTTAGAACCACCGTTGGTGCGCCAAGATGTATTCCCATGAACCCCAACGTTGCCTCGATTCTGGAAGAGCTCTTCTTCTTCCTGATCCTTGTGTGCATCAGCCTCTTGAAGAGCAGAAATTCACATGAAAGCTGGCGTTGTTCGGACGATTTGAGTCTAGAATCGCAAGGTGAATGTGTTCGCCTACTGGTGAAGCGTGCCAAGCCAGACTCCCGAATAGTTGGAGCCTTGCTGATTTGCAGCTTGGTGCTAGGAGGCTTGGCTGAATCCATGTGAGCAGCGTTTTTGTAGGAACGTAAAGGCTGTGATGGAAGTGGTTCTGCAAGAGTGCTCGCGTAGCCTCTTGCCTGCAGGGCGTAGTTGTGGCGTAGTTTCGCGTGGGCACGTATAACAGTCTCGTCCGCGCAGTCTGCGTAGTTGGTATGTTTTGTGAGCAAGAAGAGGTTCGTGCTGCATAGAACGCCCAGGAATGCCGCGTAGTCCGCATAGGCAGCACGATAGCAAGAGCGTGTTCGCATACTTGTCGTCTGTATCGCAGGGAAAACAGCAATCCGCGTAGTTCGCGAAGGCAGACTATCTTTGTATAAAGACTTGAACCTTAAAAACAATGCTCATGTCAAACAGAGTCTCAACAGAGGACCTTACTTCAATTAGCAGCTTGATTCTCTGACTTAGTGATCGTGATTGCACATGCAGCATGAATGCGAAATTCAAGTGGGCTGTCCAATGACATGCAACTCAGCTGCTCACCTGACTTGAGCTGCATAGCACTGCATAGCCAAGGATGGTACAGCAACCCAGCGGCAGAAGTGACATGAACTGGCACTGCCTTTGCACAGGCTTTGTCTGTGCTGTTCATGTGCAGATTAGGTGTTTCTATCACGTTGGTGCTTCTGAACAAATGGGTGATGAAGTCCTGGAGAGGCATGAAGCAGACAGGGCTTGCTGCACGTCCCAGGGACTACAATCTTCTGTGTCTTCAGGTGGCCTCAACTTTCCACTCTTCTACACGATGAGTCTGGCACTGAGCTGCCATGCCTTCAGAGGTTCCATCCTCTGCAGCCAGGTCACATGATCTTGAAGGGTTTCTTCTCCTTCCTTTACCTGGCGTTGAGCTGTCATCCGCCCGGCAAACAGAGGCACACAAGCCAACTCTGGGCACGTTTGCCTCATCCCAGTTACCTTACAAATTTTTAAAGCCAGCAGGCGTTCGGTTTGCTGCGGCGTATCCCTGGTCGGGGTCATGACTGCACTGGATGTGGCAGCGTCAAACATGAGCGGGAGCCTCTATCAGACATTTGCTGGTTACATCTGGTTATCAGCACTCGTCTATTTAGAACTGTGCCAGTTGCAGCCTCAGCGGACGCAAGGCTTCCTCTTCATTACCGTGGCATTCTACACGATGCTGAAGTCCCTTGCTTGAATTGGAGGTCTGCAGTCTTGCAGAATACTATGGCAGGGCCTCGCTGGCAGGTCGGCCTCCTTGATCTTTATCCTGGTTGGAGCCTGATGTGGCGATTGGATCTGGATTGCTCCAGCATGTGTTTGAAACCTCTGGGTTACGGGTTGTGGCTGCGCCGGATTAAGCTAAACATCCATTGTTATCCACTGCCCACTGATGTGGGTGCTGCAGCCAGGGTGATTAATGCAAGTATCAGGTCTTGGGTGCGATCCTGCGCATCGAGCAATGCCAGAGTCTTAGCAGACCAGAAGCTGAGCGCGACATCTCACGCAGCTTCTTGCAGTGTCCTTGGGATTCTTCTGGCGAATCAGGCTCTGCCGGTATCGCAGCAACCGTGCTATTGCTGGAGCCCCTGAGTATCTCGGGAGCCACCAGAGCATCGAGAATCTCCATGTTTCCCGGTGTTCCAAGGATTTCGGTCGGGATTTTCATCACGTCCTATGGCGAGACCGACTTTGACTTGCGTGGCTTCTGGCTGGTGCTGGGCGCCTTGCCCTGGAGACGGAGGTGTTCTCCTGTTTTTGTTGTCCTTGTGTAGCCTTTCATCTGTCTGGGCGCTCTCAGCCAGCAAAGCAAGCCCTCCGATCTTGGCCAACATCTCAGCTTGTAATGCAATTGCCACCCAGGCTCAGAAGTTTTCGCTGCCTTGCGCTGGCTAGCAACGCAGAGGACACTCCAATCAAGTGGATTGACGGCTCCTTGGCAACATGAGAATGTGTGACTGCTCATGCCTGGAGCTAGATGTCGGCTTTCTGGCTGTGGCCACGGGTGCAAGGACTTGTCTTACACCTGTAAGACTATAAGATCTAACTAAAGATCCCAAACCCTGGAAAACTGATCATGTCGTGCCTGTGCCAAAACCCCATGTTCGCAGCTACAACCACCCCCAATCCCAGAATTGTGACACGGAAGCCTAGGTGTATGAGACCTCAAACTCTATCATGTTCCATTATGCTTGAGGTCAGGAGGTATGCAATGCAGAGATTGAGCTACAACCAGGGCTTTGAAGCCTCTGCCTGCCTTTTTGTTTCATCATGCGTTTCTTTGCTCCGCAGGTAGATCTAACTGAATGTAGAAATGGTCATGTCTTCAGACCGTGAGTAGTGAGTTCGGAGACGTGTCACGAACAACAACCATTCAACAACCATTCTTGAAGATGGAAGCTGCGGCTGTTCGCACCAAGCAGGCTTTGAAAGGGTCTGACGTGGCACTGACATTTTCAGCGAAGTCATGGTACTGAGGCTATGCAGACAGTTTTCTACATGAGACTAAGCTGCACCGGATTGAGTAGCTAGCAGCTATAGAGGAGGTGGACATGGACAGTGCACCATCATTGAATTGGCTGGTCCGTGATTCGAGGTCGCCTGCATCGTCGCTGACTTTGGCCCCTATCGTATGGGTGAGACGCTTTGATGCAAACAGTAAATGCACACAGTTTTTCTTGCCATTTAATGACCTTCCCTGTGCCAAGGAGAGAAGGACAAGTTGCAGATCTTAGCAGACCCTGACACGGCTGGGCAGTATTTTCTTTTGGTAACTTAGCTGGAAATGGGATCCTTGTTGATGCATCAAATGGTTCCCTCGGCGCATTGATCTTTAGCTTGATGAGTAGTGTCAGGATCAGGATTGGCAGTCTGGAGACCCTTGCTTTGTTTTTGATGTCGTTCTTGGAAGTCGCAGTTTGGGCTCTGTCTCATTCCAGCTTTGCTCACAGATATGAAGTCATCGTCTCAGCTCCTGGTTTTAAATTCAGGAAAGCCGGTTGGGGAGGGGTGCTTGACGAAGGGATGAGAGCGGGCGAGTCTTTGCAAAAGGTTTAAGGTCTTGAGGAGCAGCTCTTGCTTTCACCTCTCACAAGCTTGTGATGCATCTTGGCTCATACCCAAAGATCTAGACTTGGCGAAGCAAACCATACATGAAGCATGTGATTGCTTTGGCCATCAGTGCTTTGGCCCACATGAGACTAGCCCAATGTGCAATCAGCCTTAATTGTCGCGCCCGTAAAGCACAAAGACTTCATGCTGGACTTGGTCTCATGTGGAAGACATTCCTGTTCCTGCGAGTCGGCGCAGCGCAGTACCCCGCGAGTGTTCCGGAGGAGGTTTGGTGCCAGGTGCCGAACTATCGCTACTACCGGTGGACGGCGACAAAGGCTCGCGGCTATCCGGCAAGTGACAGCTTCACTTGTTCGGAGTCGCTCAAGCCGGATGGCTGTTTCTGTTTGGATTACACAGAGTGCAGATCTGGGTACTGCATCCCAGATGACCTTGGGGCGACCTACTGCACCTTCCCCATCTACCAGATAGCTGAGATTGAGTTCTGGAGGCATGGCCATGCGATCAGTACACGTAAGGCACCTGACTGGCATTATGACGCATATAGGGTTGTGAATGCCATGGATGTTCCTCAGACCTGGGGAGTTTGGGAGCTGGAGCTTTACAATGACACAAACTGCACCATCCCGCTCCCAAATGGCACAGCCATTGCTTCCTCCAGCCTTCCTCGAGGGTTTGGCCACTCCATTGATCACACGGCCCCCATGGGTGCGCAGGACACTCCGAGGACATACTGGCAGTCCAGGCCGTTCGCAGAGCCAATGACCTTTGACTTGCACGGACCTGCGGCCTATGCGTTCGACGCCAACGTCACGACCAACTGGTGGGCAGACTGTCGGAACCCATGTCGCGCTGGCACGGAGTGGATCGGTCTAAACTTTTCTTCTGCCACGCCGGCTAAGTGCATCCGTATTCTGCAGGACAAAGATCAGGACTACGCCTCATTCAGCCTTGCTTTGGAAGGCCACAGCCTTGGTAATTGGACGCGGGTGACTACCTTCAATGCCGGAACCAGGTCTTATGGTGGCGTATGGGAGGAACTATCCGTACCGCAGGGTGTAGCTTTTGTTTCCAGCATTGCGCATGCCAGGGCATTAGACGGCAACTTGAACTCCTCGGTGGCTGAGATGATTGGTACTTACCTGGAGTTCGATTTCGGGGTGGAAACGGAAATCGATGCCTTCCGATGGGCAACTGCCAGGGAGCCGGGAGATCATACTTTTGGGCAGCATGACGGACGCACCTGTGACTATGATGGCCTTTGCCCGCGAGACCCCGTGCAGTGGACACTGGAAGGTTCCCTAAACCGAAGCACGTGGGTTCCCTTGCAGTCCCAAACTGCGGACTTCCCGACCCCACTTTACAGAAAGGCTTTCGTCGATTTGCTCCCGGTGCATCACCGGGTCTCCCTTACCATGGCTGATATCTGGCCGGATGGTCGCGGACAATGCGCCGCACGACGCTAACGAGCAAAACCGTGAGAGTCCACGGAGAGCCTGAAGACCCTTCGGCAACTACCCAAAGCTTCCAGATCCGCCCTTCGAGGGGCAGATTCCGCCCAGGTACTTCTGCCAGGTTTCCTTGCCTTCTTACTCCTCCTCGTAGAGGCCCAGGGCGGCTGTGCTACCCACATGTTGCTGCTTTGGTGACCAAATGCCAGGTACACCTCGTGAAGGTCACGTACACGCCTCAAGATCATAGGGGCAGGATGTGGTCCTTCAGGACTACTTTGGTTTTCATGAATTTGGCAGTTGCACAAGCGAAGGCAGGGTTTTAGGTACGGGCTTCGAAAGGAGGTAGGAGTCGTAGATCCTTCTTGCCTAAAATCTTCATTCCAAATGTGGAGCAGTTTGAAGGGGATTCGAATGCGCAGTAAATGATCATGAGACAGTTTTGGAGGCTTCTTGAGGGATCATGTGCGACCTTTCTTTTTGCCTCCGGAAAACTTCAATCAGGGCTTCGCGGCATGTTGCGACTTTCCTAGGTCATCCCTGACCCTGGCGGTGTTCGGCAATCTGAAGTCCATCGCACGAAGCTTACCAACCAAGCAATACAAAATAGTGCCTTCTGCAGTTCGGCAGCTATCCCAGTATAACCCCTATATAACCCCTGTATAAGTAGCTGAGAATGCAACATGAGAAGTCCCGTTATCAGGTCACAATCCTCTTTTCCATCTTCGTCTTCGGCGAGAAGACAACCGCCCTGCAGTGGAGCGGACTGCTCCTGGACACTCGCAGCACTTAGATTGTCAGCCCAGGTAAGCGCCTTATTGGTTGCACGGTTGCACGTAGCTTGCTAGAGTCAGCCCGAACTGCGCAGCCGGAAGTCACACCCAGCTTGGTGACTGCAAGTTTCATATTGATCATCAAGAGTCAAGATTTGTCAAGAGCACAGGCGCTTGCTGGAATGCTCATCTACGAACCTTGTCTGCACCAGGGCTTGCAGCAGGGCAACTGACCTGGCCAACCCAGCACCTGACATTGCAATCTGCTACACATTCAGAACACATTGTCATCCCTGTGTCGTGGGCAGCGTAAGGCACGGCTGAAGAACAGGTCCGTGGCAGTGGACTCCCTGGCATCCCTGCGATACGAACTCCTTCCGACAGATGTCGAGGCCGGAGACTGCAAATGAAAAAGTGCGCAGCTCTGGGACGGTTCCGGTCAAAGTCCTGTAAACTTACCCTCCTAGACATCCTTGTTCTGGGATATATGATCTTATCATCTCTTTTGGCAAATTTGGGAGCAGCAAGGGGTCATGGCTAGCCCCCGGCACTTGCGAGGACGCTGATGAAGACAGTCAGCCAGTTCCAGGGGACAAGCGCGGCTTGGGCTGGCAAGCAAAGCGTCTGAACTGGCTAGAAGTTAGAAGAAGCAAGTTACCTTGGCGGCTTCCGTGTTTTTCAGGTGCAACAGAGAGCCCTCAGGCTGGGTGCTTTGTGCAAAGGGTCAGTACACGCTCAGGATTTGAAGCAGCCAAGCGCTCTGGTCGCAAGTGATAGCACCAGCTGGATTCAGGTGGAGAGCAATCAGTGCAGCAGTGATGCTTCTCCCCAGGTGGCTGCATAGCAGACCTGTCAGGGAAAACCTATTGTTCCTCCTGCTACAGGCCTCGTCAGGACGAAGCCCTACAATGCTTGGCGTCGCCGTGGCCTTAGCCAACAGCTGCATCATCAGATTCAGAGACCAAGCTAAGCCTCAGGTGGCTTCAATTTTGTCAAGCCAGTCTTGGTAGCAGCGTTGCCCAGGCCGCTGACCAAAGCTCCGGAGGCTTGGAGAACTTCGCTTCTTTCGAGGAGGCCGCCGTGGAGCTCTGCTAATCAGTTAGACGCACCTGACCCAACCCGACTGCATCAGCCATTCGCAGATGGCGACCGCTAATGTCGAAGGGGAGTCAGCAAGCAGTCGCTGACACCTCAATTGCAGGTGTCCAGGCTGCCTAGCCTAGGTACATGATGCTTGAACTCTATGGGGATCTTGTGCAGGGAGTAGAATTGAAATATTGTGCCTGTGCTGCGCATTTTGCATGCTTGACTCTTTCCGATGAGGCCAATAGATGGTGTCCATGGGCAGCTACTACTGTCCCTCACGCAGAGCAAAGTCCCTGCCATCGGAAAAGACCGTGTACCAGAAGCAAAGTTGAATGCGGCTTCCTGTGAGAGACAGCTTGGCTAGCAGTCATATCCTCAACCTGTGCCGCGTGCCGCCAGCAGCCGTTGTAGAAGCGGCGTAGAGAAATCACTGGGTATTCAAGCTTGTTTTTTCTCAATCGCCTTCTTGCATCTTCTCACTAGACGCACACTCACACCCTTGATGCTTCATTTTCTACACGTAAACCCGTGCAACGATCCGTGCAACGCATAGTCCTTCCTTGATTTTGATGAGACCATGTGTAAGAGCCCGCATGCAGTTATGGCCGCGCTGCGGATTTGTGGGTGGGAGTGGCGCAAAGAAACGCGGTTGGTCTGCAAGACATCTCAAGAACATTGCTGCTAATCTAATGCGGCCTTGTTGCATGTTGCCTCCGGCTCAGGCACTTCCGACGGTGACTCTGATGCTGAAGTTTGCGCAGATCGGGGCAGCTTCAGACGAGGCGCCTGCTGGGAATCTCTTGGGAGGTCGGCGACCATCAGAGGGTCATAAGCAGCGGATGATGGCAGACGTGAGCTTTGTTTCCATGGCCCATTGAAGCAGAATCCGACCTGGGCATTTCCCAATTAGACGCTGAAAGCTCCAACCGCGTTGTCGATCATCAATGCGTTTGGGCGGAGAATCCTTCTAATATCTTCTAATAATATGCCGTGGATTTAGAAGAAGGATTTGAAGGAGAACCACAAGCAGCAGAAGAAGAAGAAGAAGAAAAAGAATGAGAGAAGGAGGAAGACCTGCTTGGCTCGTTTTCGCATGACTTGAAGCGTCAAGATTTCTCCGCAGGTTGCTGAGGCTGACGGAGTTGACCGGGCTGAGCTTAGGAAGCAGTACGAGGTCGCTCGCTGTTCGCAATTCGTGAAGAAATTGCGAAGCTAGCATTGAAGCTAGCTGTAGATTGATGATGCGGTTCTATGGAGAGGAAGCGCTCAGATTCATCTCTGCGGGCAAGGCTCGCAATTCAGGGAAACTCGCTCGGCTTAGTTCCATGTAGGCAGAGCCGTTGAATAGAAACAACGCTGCGTGATTCCACGGCTTCTCCTAGCCAGCTGACTGGACGGGGATTTTGAAAGGAGTTTTATGTAAACGAGTCTGCTGTCGGCGGCATCAGAGATGCAGCTGATGTTGCGCAGGCACTGGAAGCCAAGCAGGGCCTGAAGCATCTGGTGTCCGTCAGAAGTAGCGCTGCTCGCCGGGGCCGTGGTCTGGGTCTACGCTTCAAGAGGAGCTACACCTCAAACTCAAACAATAATTATGTCGTCAGAAAAATCCTTTGTTGGTAGAACAGGCAGGTGGCACAGCTGCTAGCCTGCGCGTGAACATGTACGGGAATGATGAATGTTCGAGGTGATCGTCTCTGGCTTCGTGGCTTCAAGGTCCTGTGCTGGCAGAACCTGGCTGGAGTTCACCAACAGCTGGGGCAGCACCAGAAGGCGGCCCACTTTCAGTCGTCAAACAGACACAAGCAGACATTGGAACGACCTTGCTTCAAAGCCCCCCGAAATCCCCCCCGCAAACAAAAAAGTATTGAGAACTTCCAAAACCAGGGGCAGTCCTAATTAGCATCCCCCTGACAGGCTCTGGCATATCTTGAGCGAGCAGTGCGAGGCGTTGGAAAGGAGAGGAGTTGTGATGCTTCTATCTAGGGCCTAGGGAGAATTTCTGTCCTGGTGGCCGCTGACAGGAGGCCCTGCTACAACGTGTCTGGCAGGACAGTCCCACAGATGCGCGGCTCCCGCTGCTTCGACGACTGGCAGATTGCGCGGTGCGGGCCGAAAACTGGCCAGCTGCCACGCAGGCAGGAACTTGTGGACGCCAGTTTGTATGATGTTGTCGAGAATGACTTCTCTAGGCCTTTTGCCGTTGCCTTCGCTTGCAGCCGGCAGATGCCGAGCTTCTTGGCAGCTGTGGCCTCTGAGAATCCAGAATAGAATGTTCGAGTCTTCTTGAGGTGTTTGCGCAAGCTGGCTCAATCGCTCCTTCAAGCCGGCGACCTGCAAAGGCAAGCCATTCATGCCGGCATGAGGTAACAGTTGCCTTGGAACTCGCAAGCAGGTGTCGTGAAGTCCTCGCCCAGCTGAAGGCATCCCATGGCCTGGAGGACCAGGAGGATTGGCTGATGTCGCGTTTGCCCGCGCCTCGGTTTGGTTTTGACATCATGTGGGGCAGTCATCCGAAAGCTTCGAGATTTGACTTTTCTAGGAAGCGACGCTTCGATCATTCTTGGTACCGCTCCATGGAGGGAGCACCACCCCAGGAGGCTGCCGACCGTTGTATCAATGTGGGGATTTCCCAAAATTAGGAGTACCTTTTGGGGGGTTCCAAACAATGAGGATTATAGTATATTGGGGTCTATATTGCGTGTGGCAAACTACCATGCTCTCTAGACTCGTAGACCTGTCGGACAGGCAGACTACTTGGCCCTCAGCGCGGCGCGAGCCAAGCGCAGGAAGAGTGCCCGGCAGGCTCATGAGCTGCCACCCGTTGCCTGGAGCTTATTGGGGATTGAAAAGGGACAATGGAAAAGCACATGGAAGCTACTACAATATAATAGGGTACATATCGGGGGTCAGTACGGAAGATGGGAATAAATGGATATAGGGATTATAAAGGGATGATATTCCTATGTTTTCCCCGCTGCTACCTGCTAGCTGCTGCCCTACACCACATCAGGAACAGCAACTTATGCACCTTTCCGTGGTGGAGCTGATGCAGACGATGCGTTCCATGGCAGCCTGTTTGCAGCTAACGCACGAATTCCATTTCTCAACTCAATCTGGGGCCTACAAGTTTTGCCAATCCTACATCATCTTTCCGCACAGCACATGAAAGAGCTGCCGCTTGATCTGTGGAATTGTGGAAGCAGGTCACAAGCTCCTGCTTGTTTCCGTTTCAGCCTGTGGTGTTCGTCCTCCGGGGAGCCAATGCGGAGGAACAACAGCAGGCTGGCTTGGCCGGCTTCGGGACGGTCGCTTCAAAGCAGATGTCAGTTCAGCCACGCTCCCTCTGAGCATTCCTGAGAACCTGCTTGACAGGAACAACCAGCGCCTTCGGAGGCCGGCAGCCCAGCTGATGCCTGTCTGACCCTGTGCTGTGCAACTTCAGTTGCAAGTCGAAGTGGGCACATCGGGCATCAAGGAAGCAGCACACAGATCTCCAGCGGCCATGACAAGTGCAGTTCTGGATTCGTTGCGTGCCCTGCCCCTTGGCCCAGCAAATCGCTGCGCAGGATTGCAGGATTGCTGCAAGCTCCAATGCCCAACGTCACACGCAGGATGGTGGAGCCTTGGCCGCTCAGTGGCTCCGCTGTCCAGTGGCTGCAGCTGAGACTGCAGTTCAAAGCACATGTTCCAAGCATGGTGGGACGTGACAAGCACATGTCAGCATCAAGCCAGCTTGAAGGCTGCACATCCTTGACAGCCTTAAGAGCAGCGAAAACTCGTCTCCGGCTATGTATCAGGAGACAGCAGGGATTTCCAACAGTAGAGTGACGCACTGTGGGAGGAGCAGAGCTGCGCAGCCAAAGCGCAGCTAAAGTGTCATACAGTACTGCTGACCACGTGTTCGGTTGACCAGGAGGAGAGCCGGGCAGTCGCAGGCTTCCTGGCGCTCCCGCAAGCAGAGGTGGCTTCATCAAGGAGGGTACTGTAGACTTTGCACATCCGCAAACTGCTGTGAGGCTGGCGAGGGCCGTCGCAGTAGATGCCAGAGCTTCCGATCCTGGCCAGCGGGCAGAAGTTCAGATTTGTACTAGGACATTTCGAACCCTTTGCATTGTGAGACTTACGTGCATCACATTTGACACCGAGCAGCATCACGCCAGCCTTTCTCCGCACTTCGCATTCAGGCTCTTTGACGTGTTGCGCTTCACGTCCGAGCGGGGACGCGAGGGGCTGCGGTTGTTTGTGGACCACTGCAAGCTCACCTCCCTGCAGGCAAGGACTAGGAGAGGCTGATGTGGGGAGCTGTGTAAGCCTGTGTAAGCTTTAGTGTTTTCAGAGCCTCGGGCTTGTTTAAGTTTCGGAGTCATGTGTGTTGCAGGTGGAGCTGCTTGGGGGCGCCGTGCTGCTGTCCAGACAGCAATTGCGCTCGGAGACCGTGGAAACCTTTTCAGGCTGGGTCTGCTGAAAAGCAGCCTTGTGAGATCTCGCACATGTGTACGGATGCCTCATGAAATTCTGGTAAACCAGCGCAAACATCAGTTGGCCATGCACCCTTGGTGCCCCCTTCTCAGACAAGGTGTTCGAGCTTTTTGGGTTTCTTTGCTGCACTTGTGCAAGCAGAGGTTTGCCTCTTGAGAAGGCTCGCTCTAATTCTTGAAGTCGAGGCTCACAGCAGCTTCCTGGTTTGGACCGCTCAAATCAGAGGCCTGGATAGAAGGGCTCGGAGTTGGGACCAGACCTCCACGGGATAGCACAGGCCTTCTTGCCCTGTTATTGTGAGGAGGAGATGACCCCGAACCACGTCAAAGTCTGTTGAAGTTTGTTGAAGAGTTTGGCTTATCCCTGGCTGATTCTTGGCTAGCAAAAGCAGACAGGCGCTTCTGATGCTCCTGTTGAATCCCTGAACCCGAGGAGTCTTGCGTGACTGCCAGTGATCGCATGCCCTGGCTGCAGCAGCCAGCTCTGAGCCTTCTGCGTGCCTCATCTCTGAACTACGTGTTAAGCGGCCCAAATGTTTGCTGTACAGCGATGCTGCCCACGTTCTTGAGGTGCCTGGCTCTACTGGCATCCGCAGCTCGGAACGCACGGCAACCTATGTTGAAGTCTGCAGTGCTCGTGGCATTCTTTAACCCCATGGCATGCTGTGGCATTTTCCGGGAAACATTGATCAGTACAACATTCAGCTATTGAATACTTAACAACTGCTGGCCAGTTTAGGAAGGGCAGCACCTGTCAAAGCAGGTCAATCCAGTGAGTGACAGGTGGTGCTCGTTTCTGAGTTTGCAATGTTGCGTGAAGCCTCGGGTGAACCGTTCTCAGAGTCTTTTCGTGCCGGGATCCATGTCACGGTCGCATGCTTCTAACCTCGGCAACTTTAATATGCGCTCCTTGTGCATTTTGCTAGGCCCTTAACAGCACACCGTAGCAGCAGAAGCATGACCAGCACCAGCACATAGCATGACGGGCAGTTTTGGGGGCAATCTCTGCCCTGGTGGCCGTTGTCGGGGATTCATGTATCTCTGCCAGTTCCAGCTGTGTGTCCGATTTCCGTCGAGGCAGGGACAACTAGGACCTAGGAACATAAGATAACGGATCCATCGCGAGTTTGCCTCTGATAGTAATGCCAGCCGTTAAAGGGAGCCAGTGCATCTCCAGCATAGGCGAATCGGCCTGGCCGAGACACAGCATTTGCGCCTTCGCCTGTGGGTGGAGGCCTCCTGCTACAAAGTATGGTCATGGCAGTAATCTTCAGCTCGTAGTGGTGTTCGTAAATAGTCACTCGGAGGATCCAAGCAAGGGGCGAGCCTGCCAGTTGCAAGTTGCATGGGTCGTCAGCAGCAAGTGTAGGTTGATCAGATTTTTGAGATATCCTGAGTTCAGATAGTTCTCTTCAGAATTCTGCGCAAGACCGGCAGTATTTGGCACGAGTAGAGTGCCTGGTCCGGCTAACTGGCCAGTAAAGCTTGTCTCACCAGTACTGGTAGTTGCAGCTTGCACCGGATGGTTCTTATCAAGACACTGGACTGCAGGAGGGCTTGGGGTTTGACGGTGTCAGTCACCCTGGGCGACTCCAAACCGAACACGAGGAGCCCTGCTGAGTGCGGCTTGCACTTGGTATGTTCTCTTCATTGCTCATTCCTGTGCAATGCCGACGATCCCTAAAAGCGGTGCAATGCCGTTTGATAGATTTACAGGTTGACATTTATTCGGATTCATTCGAAACTCAGGAGCAACTCGCAGCTGAACTTTGCAGAGTAGACTCTTCGCAAAGGCTGCTACCGTGCAAAGTTAGCCCAGCTTTCGTGAGTCAGATTTACGTGAAGAGCGGCTGCAGGGGCGCTGATGTTCTCCGGTGCCTGTGGGCGGCATCATCCATTCGCCAGGCCTTCGAATGGCCAACCGAAAAGAAACATGAACTGCAATCTAAAATCCTGAAAAGGTGGATTACATAGGGGACTATATACGGGAAGGTTACTTTGGGGGATACTAGGAGTTTAGACTGTGGCTCACATTGGGAAGTAACCTGATAGGAAGAACTTTGGTGCAGGCCCTGGGCGCCAAGGAGCTTGCACTCCTGCGGTGTCGGGCGCTGCTTGCTGTGCATGGTTTCCCCGTGCAGAACTCCGCAGGCACTCTCAGAAGCTGAAAGGTGTCTAGAGTCTAGTCTAGATGCCAGTGTGTGACAGCAGCCAACAAACTCACTTGCTTTGTGTTGCTGCAGAAAGGGTCGCAGGGTGTTCCATCGAGGTGTCTGCGCTGTTGAACTAGTTAATAAGCCAAGCCCCGGGGATTCAGGAGCATGGACAAGTTGCACCTTGTGGTATGCTCTGGAATCTAAAATCTGGTTGTGACACCATCTTATTCTTCTTGAGAGTCCATTGGGCTATTCTTGCCGCCAGGCGCGGGCCTCTTTGTTTGAAACTACGAGCCATGCAAGAATCGAATCCGACGCAGTCCAACAAGTCAGCTTTGCAATCCCTGGCTACAGGCGAGCAGTTGTCGCTGCTGCAGGTTGAAGCTAGGCTCGGAGGGGGTGCCAAGCTGAAAGATGTCAACTCGTAGACATGTGAAAGGCTGAAGCATGTTCGGCAACAGCTACAAGAGGAGAGCTCCAACAGGCCTTGATGGGTGCACCGGGTTTGTCCGCACAGCGCATTCGTCGATTGCAAGCTTGTACATGGAGTGTGACAGGCTGGAGGGAGGCATGGAGCTTACAAAGGATGTGCAGAAGGCGCAGACTGCATCTAGCAGAGGGAGAGCCGTAAGACGTTGGGATTACATGTACCTTTGCAGGCGCGAGAGCAGGCCGAAAAGAAGCAAGAGATTGAGGATGTTGATGAGGATGGGGAGGCGGCTCGGACTGTTTTTCCGTGGCCTGAACTTCTTTGCTTCCAAGATGCTGAGGCCAGAAGCCGCGAGCAATAGCCTGAGACGTTCTCTCTTAAACATAGTGGGCAAGCAGTGCTTCGATGCACTTTCCAAGATGTTGATTGCTTGCACCTTTCACCTTTCACCAAACGCGCTGCCACAAAACAGATCTTCGGTTTCACCCGCTTGAGGACGAAGCAGCTTGAAATGGAGGCAATGGACATTGCCAGGCAGGACAGTTGAGGAATAAATGTTTCGAGGACGGCAGTCGTGATACCTTCTGAGAACTTGTTCACAGTGCTCATGGAAGAGCCGAACAAGGGCAACTAGAAGAAGGTCAAGTACCAGTTCTTCAGGTCCGTGTTCACAGCGCTGCCTTCGCCTCTTGCAGTGGACCAGACGAGGGTGCACTTGGGCATGCTACAACTACATATTTCCTGAGACTGCAAGAGCCTTTGTGCCAGGTGAAGAGCCTTGTCCGACTCTTCGACTGGATCAGCAAGCATTGCCGGCATCGTTAAAAATTGTCGTTGTTTGTCAATTTGTGGGTCCTGAATCAATGCTGCGAATTACATGTGGCAGCGACTTTTCATAGCTTTAGCAGATGTCTTGTGCTGGACTGAAAGTCACGCTGTCCTGTCCAGAGGATGGAGGCAAAATCTGACGGAGTAGTGCGCACCCCGGGTTCTTGGTAGCTTGCTCCCAGCATCTTTGCTCCCTTTCCCAGTGTCCACTGCTTTCGGATCCTGAGGATAATCTTTTTAACTCTTTGGCAATGATGATGTCGCAGCTCTCTGCCAACCTCGTTGAATTAGCCTGGAGCCTTGCTTCATCTGGGTTGCTGTTAAGGAACTTGAATTAAGTTACCATAATGGGTATATATAGTAAATCATAGGGTTTCCCCAATGTAGTAATTTAATTTAAGTTCCTTAACAGCAACCCAGTCAAGCAGCTTTCAAGTTTGCTGGGCTTTCTGTGGGATTCTGAGGAGGATGGTGAGTACAAGATGGCCTGTGCCTGTGCTTGCAGAGTGCAAAGCCGAAAGGCCTTCCATGTGAACTATGGTCTAAACTCCTTAAAGGGGGATCTATAGGGAATTATATATAAGGGACTATTATAGGGGTTATTAAGGGGGATACTAGGAGTTTAGACTAGGGATCATGTGTGTTCCGCCTGTGACGGGCATGTGACTGGCCTGCACGGCAACATCTGGCTCAAAAGGCGCTAGAGCAAGCGCAATCAGGATGGACATCACTACCCACCAACCTGAATAAAGGCACCTTCGACTCGGTCAGTACATATTCATGGCGGTGCTGCAGAGCGCCGGTTGCTCTCTAGAACCAGCATTTACGTGCGGGAAGCGGGCTTGCTGTAGCTGCTACTTGTAGCTGGCCCTGCAAAAAATGTGGAGTTGCTGATGTGCTCGGTGAGCTTGGACGGCATCCTGAATGTGCCTGGTTTCAAGCTTGTTACATGCCAGGCTTAGTCAACCACAAAGGGATGGCAAGGTGAAGTGCATCTCATGGCTTCACTGAGTCTGAGGCAATCCAGTACCCCAACAAGGAGGAGCTCTGGAAGCATTTGCAGTTTCTCGTCCAAAGTTCCCAAAACAATGCCAATCTGAGCAAACCTTCCTCTCAGATCGCTGGGCTACGGCAATGAGAGCAAGTTTCCTGGATATGGTTTTCTGCGCAAGAGCATGCCGGAAGATGCAACCCGTCTCAGCTCAGCTCTACTGTGTATCATGTTTTTTTCTTTTTCACAAGCCAATGGGACGGATTGAACACAAAGAGAGATGCACTTGCAGTTTAGCCTTTGTTAGAACAACTTTCAGCGCAACTGAGGCACAATACATTGCGGAGGCAGATCTGGTTTTTCTACGGAAGAAAGCAGAAGCGACGAAGGGGATTGAGCTGCAAGATGTTCGACGACTGTACGAGGTGAGGGAATCACAGCTGCACTCTCATGACTTGCCTGGTGGGCTGTTACTGAATACCTGCTCCGTTCAACGAATCGAGCACTGGGTGTCAGCAAGCCCCGGATGCTCATTCCTTACTCCGCCAGCTTTGGAGTTTAGTACCGGACCTCAGCAATGATGTCCCTTTCATGCAGTCAGCATGCATTAGGTGGTCAAGACACTCTGCGGCAAAGCCAGGATGATGCAAGCGAAGGCTCTGCCCAGTGGGCTTGCGGTGTTCAACCTTCTCATGGAAAGAAGCTAAGCATTCAGTATGAAAACCAAGGGCAACGTATGCGCAAAGCCGGTATATGATATTAGAACACAGGCGGGAAGAACAGCTTCATGGCGCAGTATGATATGGCCATCCACCATCTCAGAGCTGCTGGTACTGGGAATGATCATGTCAACGAGATAAACACCACTTCGAAGACTGATTAGAACAGGCTGTGCTGTTCCTCTTATTGGGTGTCCCGCCCTGACTGCTGCACAGGTGCTTCGGCAAGGTGCCGAAGTGTTTAATGGCTTTCTCCAGAATGTGGAGGAGGCTGGTTGGCTGGTCACAATTACAAAATATCCCTGCCGTCGTGCACAAAACCCATCGTGCCACACCCAAAATTCTTCGAGATGCTTCAACTCAGCCCAGACGCTGGAAGCCATGTGCTCTGCGAGGTATTGTCCGGCATGGCAAATGGGGCAGACGTTGTGATTGTGACAGGCCCTCATCACCAGCTTGAAAAACGTAAGCGCCGTGCTGTTAGCCTGAGAGGGGCATACACGGTTGAGAGCCAGCGCGGCTGGACCGTGCCCGTGGATTTCACGCTTCAAGCCGGGGCGCCCTTCTTGAAGAAGGCGTGGACTCCCTGATAGCAACCTTTTTTACTTTCATACGTAGGATGTCTGATGAGCCTGGCTGAAGGCAGAGAAGATTCGCCGCGCGATCACAAAGCTGAACGTGCGCCCCCGTGCGGATTGTTTTTGGTTTCAAGCCAAGCCGTGCGAGTTGTGCAGAATCATAAAGCTAGATCCCCACTTCACGGAAGCGATTTTGTGGCTGCATGTAATGTGCAGGACGGCAATTTCGCAAAGGCCGTCGGCCGAGTCCGCAGCATGCTCTCGCATGGAGGCCACGCACAGCCTCCGCGTAAATGGTGTTGCATGATTCTGCGCTTGCTTTGTGCCAGACAAAGCAAGCTTCTCGCGGGACTGGAACTCTATCGGAGGGGCGCTGAGCTTCCTGCAACGTCAGCTGGAGCTTGCTTTGTCCTCAGACAATGCTAGTGCACACTGGGCATGCGGTACGGGCTGCCTATCAGAGGCTCTCCCTCCCTCCCTTCAATGCTTGGCACCGGCCGTCAATTCGATGTTTGGTGCATCAGGTGCACTTCTTGGAATCTTCTGAGCAAGGAGCCTACAGGCTCGCTCAACTTGCACCCAGCTGAATGGCTTGGTGCATTTTCTAGTGACTTGCGTCCAAAGTTCAGAAACCCAGAGTTGCATCTAAAGGGGGTTTCATTTGCCATTCCATCAGCTCGCTTAAGGCCCCGTCTTATTGTTTTACTTACGCTGAAGGTCGTCCGTAGATTACCCGCCGGTCCTCCGGTTGTTTCAACATACTACGGAAGATCTTTTAAGTCAATACTGGGGCTTCCGTTCAAGCACTTGTTTGCTACGTGGACCGCTGTCCGGAAGCAAGTGCAGCAAAACTGTCCCCTCTCAACCATTCTCAGGCAGCGGCTTTGCCTGCCTGAGAACATCCCACAGGCGGGGAGTCTTCAACGACATCTCAGCAAGAACAGCTCCCAAGAGATTACACGCATTCCGGCACCGTTGCTTCGCTTGGCAGGAGGTGTGCGAGCAGGCAGTGAAGGAAGAGCTGCAGCAGAGAGCGCAGGAGCTACTGTGGCGTAGCTTGGCATACAGATGTGTTTTGGCGCTAGTTTGACACAAGTGCTTTACTGAGCTTCTGTGCAGATAGTCGAACTCTGAGGTTTCCGCAAGCGGGTCAACCTCACAGTAGCAGAAGCTGTGCCTTATCCGCATTATTCCGCGACTCAGCGGCTCTAACTCGCTTTGTGGTAAATGGTGAGCGCACGACTGCGAGAGTCACTGGAATCTGCTGTGTCAGATTGAAGCCAAATGCTGCCCTACGCGGCATTCTGGCACGGCCACCGCAGCTTCTACAGCAGCTCAAGCGGCCGCACCACTCCTGGCTACACCCCAGGCAGCAAATTGTAGTTGCGTCTGCTCCAGAGGTTTGGCATCGTACTTGTATCCCTTTTCGAGGACGGTTTTGTGATGTTTCATTGATGCGCACATTTGCGCACCGGTCAATCTTGCTTTGACAGGTGGCAGAGGAAGCGCAGGAGGAAGGCTCTTTGGACGCAGAGGAAGCGTGGCTTCCGCAATCCTGATGTTCAGCCAAGGCAAGGGTACCAAGCGCAAAGCATGCTTCCTGGAGAAAGGCACCGAGGCCTGGGAAACTTCCTTCTTTCTTCGCTAGCTTCTTCATGCTTTGGTTCTCTCCAGCCTGAAAGCCTCCAGCTCTTGGAGCTTCAGGTGAAAGCGAAGCCCTGTGCTCAGAAAATGCTCCTTATAGGTAATATATTGGGGTTATAGTTATAATGGAATAATGGAAAATAAAATGGAAACTACTACAGTGGGGTTATGGGATTTAGGATTTAGAGTCTCTGGCCACGCTTTGCAGATGATAAGTCTTGGTCCACTGCCCAAGACTAGGTTTTGGGAACGTACCAAACGCCTTTGTCATGGGAATAGGAATAATTCACAGGGAGTGGGAATGAACATGCACAACGATTGGAATGGCTCTTTTTGACATCTTTCAGGGGCTCCTTTTTTCTCTGAAAGTGGGTGACAATGCTGAGACATGGCAACAAAAGTGGGGCTGAACAAGGATAAAGTGCTAAAAAGCGGCGCGTGAAGAGTGAGTAGAGGGAAACATTTCCGTGAGGGAGAACTTCTTTTTTTGTTATGAAAGTTCGTATTTTGAACCGGAAGCACGAGAACTCTCAAGGTTCTCGCATTTTCCTTCTACATAAACTAGAGAAAAGTAAGACAGCGTTAGTTAATAAATCTAGGGGCAACATAGGAAACTTGCAAACAAGAGAGATCTTGAAACATCGAGGAAAGTTCATCCATTCTCTGTTTAGACGGAAAATTACAGTAGTACAAGATTAGGAAAACTTTAGAGAGCAACATAAGAACACTCGGGAGCAGCGAAGCTCTACAACAATCGGCAAGAACACGTATATTCGGTATGAAATGAGGGGGTTCGCCCCCCTCTATTGTTCGTGGAATTGGGGGGGGGGATGCTGTGGGGGATTAAAGATTTGTGGCTACGAGTTGACATGACGGTAGTGGTTTCGCATGCCAAGCTAGGACGGTGGGGCAAAAAGTTTGCAGGAGACTTCCCTGGATCTCCTGGTAGCAGCACTTTTGATCGTTGTAGCTGTCGCCTCAGGTCTGTTGATGGTTCGTGGTACATGGCCTGTGCGGGAGACTTGGGCTTGGCCTCTGGTGGAATCCAGCTCTTGCATTCTAGGGCCTAACTTCTTCCTTCAAGCGTAAGATAGTCCTGCTTAGGTGTTGCGTGTGAGGAGCACAGAGGAGGACGGCATCTTGGTGAAAGTTCGTTACCATGGCTGCGGAAAGGAGGCCTTGGCTCTGCCTTCGCTGGATCTCAAGCCTCAAGCAAAGCATTTGAATCCGTGCCGGGTTCAAACCAGGACGATGAATGGCTTCGTTTGTCAGAGCTCGGTGGCAAGGCCATCAGACAGCTGAAGCGAGAGATCGGCGAAGAAAAAACATGTCTGCCAACAGCAGCACTTGATGACGCCATGCTTGCTTAGCAGACAGCCGAGGTTAAACCGCCATACTTTGCAGCTGCTGTTGGTGTGGGACCTTGCATTTCGAAGTGCGATTTCAACTATTGGCATGAAACAGCTCGATGGTGCCGAGGATGCACGCGCGCCGCAGCAGTGCTGCTGGCACGGAACTTGGACTGTTTCTGACAAACCGTGGAGGAATATCAAGAGAATGTTTCCACCTGCAGCACAGGACAAGGCTGCGCAGGTGACGCAGCCACTCCAGGAACTGGCTCGAACCCCAGGCGACTTGCTGCTGCTGCTGCTGCTGCTGCTGCTGCGGCTGCTGCGGCTGCTGCGTTTTTTTCGCATGACTCGACAGTTCTTTGTTGTTGACATCGTGACGACCAAGTGCAAGGTCCACTCCAATCCACTGCTTTTGGGAATAAAGTGCCGGCCCCAGACCAGAAAAAAAACACAGCAAGAGAGAGAGCCAACAGCCCCACACACTGGCTGCTTTGCTGCCAGCTGGGCTGTTTTGAGGAGGCACGATGCCGAGTTTGCAGCGTTCCTCCATCCCGTGCGCTTTCGGGGGACTCTGATGGTGTAACATGGACTCATGCTCAACAGCAAAGAAATGCGGCATTGCTTGTGCAGTCAGACAGGCTTGCGAGCGCATGCTGATTGGCAGCATGCCTGGACCTTGGAGTCAAAGCCTTCTCGATATCACGATTTTCGTCAAATGTTGATGCGCATACTGTGTTTGTATCCCGCGGCAACTGGGCAAACCATCTTAAGGCTCTTGGTGGCCTCGCTTGCGCCTCGGGTGCTCAGTGGCAGCGGGGGCCCCAGCCCGCGGAGTTTGATTAACGTTCAAGCAGCATCATCCCTCATGTTTTGAGCATGCGGCCGAGACTTGCGTAAACTCTACTTTGGTTGCGGGCTTTTGTGCAATCTGGACTTGAATTGACTCTCCTGTGAATGCCATTTGAGGGCAAGGTACCAAAACTCGCCCACTTGCCCTAGCATTCTCATGCATTTCGCAGCCGCACCAGAAGGACCATGACTTGGCGTTATCCTTTTTGTACGCTACGCAGCCATGCAAGCAAAGGTGTCTCGCGAGATTGGTGCCCGGTGCTTCATGGTCTGTCGCAGCCTTGCGACAAGCACAGCATGGCTTCTTGCATACATGCCGGGTGGGGGCGAGGGGAGGGCGCTTGCAAGAGATCTGCAAGCATAAGCCTGCAACGAGGAAAAGTGAAGGGCACCCTGGCAATCCAAAGGTTGTCATTGAACCTGAAGCTTCTGAGCCTACAGCTGTTGGCATCCGGCAATTCGCAGGCGCTCGGGATCAAAAAGAATGCAAACTAGTCTTCCGGCCATGCTGCTTCAGTTGAAGTAGTCGTAAAGCATGCAGGAGCCTTCTCGTGGCGGCAGCCTGCTGGTCCACCGAGGCGCGGCAGCTAAACGCAACTGATTAGCAGAACTGTTGCCGACCCCTTCCTGGCATAAACAGCAGCATGTCGGCAAAACCCAAAGCATCCCAGTCATTGCCATCCAGCAGAAATCTGAAGAAGCTTAGGCAAAGCAGCTTCTGCAGCGATACCTCAAAACAAGCTGTGGCTGGGAGCCAAGCCGCAGAATATGTTCAAACCTGATTTATAGACACCAAAATGCTATAGTCCTTGTTATTGGGACCCCCCAAAAGGGTACCCCTAATTTTGCCTTCTGCAATAGGGTTGAGGGTTCATGTTACCGTTTGAGGTTGCGCCTGTGCCGACTGTACCGCACCAGTATGGAGCTCAGACAAAGGGGCTTGGCCAAAGTATATGTATATAGGGACCATACAGGGATCGTATACCGGTTTTATATAGGGATTTCATTCCGGTTAGGGGTAATATAGGTATTTTATAGGAAATTATATGAGGTTTTATAGGGATTAGGAGTAAAATTTGGATCCCAGGTCACGACTTGGCCCTAGAGCTCACAGAGCACTTCCTACGCAGGCACCTGGCCTGGCGCCTTAAACCCTCACAGACCATCCTCTTGTGAGCCATAGTCTAAACCCTTGAAGGGGGGTTATATAGGGTTTAGGGACTAGACTCCTTCAAGGGGGTGATATAGGGTTTAGGGTTTAGAGTCTAAACTCCTTAAACGAGGTGATGTAAGGGATTATATTGGCGAGCATTGTAGGGGTTATTAAGGAGATACTAGGAGTTTAGACTGTGGCTCATTTTAGACTATGGCTCATTCAGTTTCTAATCCAACTTCCTATATACTAGTCCACCTTTTTCGAGAGACCACCATTTCTACTTGTCACATTTTGATTTGTGAAGATGGGCATTGCTTGCTGTCGCCAGATCGGAAGAGTCTCAGAGTGACATGAGCCAGCTCCCTCCCGACAAGCTGAGATGGTGCACAGCCGGCGTCCCAACTGGGACAGCACTCAGCGCGGTTGCAGGAGTTGACAATCTTCAGTTTATAGGGTCTTGTAATGGAGCAAGTCTGCTGCTCAGTGACCTTGAGTTTTATCTGATTGCCACGACTGCCTCCTCAGGAATTGTTCTGCAAGTAAAATTGTCCTGCAGCTGTTTGAAGCTAGAAGCCAAAGAAAGTAAAAAACATGTAGAAAGCATGGAAGCCAGCTTCCAATGAGCCTTATCGCGCTTTGGCGCTGCAAACTGCGGATTGCCTCATTGTCTCTTGATGAGTCACTTCATGATTAGCCTGTACCTGATGCTCCTGACTGGCTTCTGCCAGTGCCCATCGCCTGGATGGTGTTTACCGCGGCAGTCGCCCTGGGGGCTGGAGCCATTGGCTTTTGGCTTGGGAGGCCAATGTGGGCTTGCCCTGGACTCTCACTGTAGCAACTGACATCAAACAAACATTCGCTGCATTGACCGGAGCCATTTACATGCATCAGATCTCGGAGCATTGCGCCTTTCGCCCAGCAGGCAAAGCCGCAAGCAGAAGCCTCCGCGGCGAGCGGAGGACTTGATCGGCGAGCAAGAAGTGGCTGGTTGGGTGGAAGAGATCAATTGGGAAGCCACTGTGGTAGGCAATCCTTGGTTGTCGTGCTGTTCTGTGTTGACAAGTCTGCCCGCACTCAGAGGAGGAAGCCATTTGGACGCTTCGCGACAAACCAGCAGCTTGGTGTGTTGCCATACTTTTCAACTTCCATCCGTGTGCTGGGAGCTTGGACCGCAATCAGCTGTCAGTCTGCTCGCAACTGAGGAGGACGACGCTGATGATGCAGTGCGCATCCGGCTAGTCCATATCAACGATGTGTACACGATGGACAATTTGCACCTCGCCCAGTCTCCATCATTGAGCTGAGCTATTTAGTTTGTTTAGTTTCCTCTAACATGCTCCAACCTTCTCGCGCCGCGTGTTACGTCCAAGTAGCTAATTTTTGGGAGCTGTCAGTAAGCCAAGCCGGGTTTGTAATTTGCGCCTAATTTTGCTGAGACCGCGCCTGCGAAAGTTCTTGGACGAACTCGGGCAGCATTGGTTCTGGCGAGCGGGCAGCAGAGATGTTGAAGTGGTGAAGGGGCCCGACGATTGTGAATCTAAGGACTGCTGCTCGGGTATCCGACGAGAGAACCTCGTCGTTTGCGTTGGAGGCGACCTCCTCTCCCCGTACCCTCTGAGCACGCTGGACAAGGGCCGAGGAATGGTAGAGGCTTTGCAGCATGCAGAAAGCGCTCGAACACATTCATCATGAATGTGAACAGAGCATAGGAATGCGGCATGGCATTCTTTTGCAGAAGGCTGACTTGGTAGCCACGCAGCCAAGGAGGTGATGTTGGAAAGCGGCGTGCAATATGCCGCTCAGCCTCAAGACCGAGTGCGTGACACAATTTGCTGAGGAGTCGCCCCTGTCTGCCCTCAGCTCAGGCATGCTTCGGCAACCATGAGGCAGATATCGATCTCCCATCCTTGAAGCAGCGGCTGCAGAGATGGCGCGAGCGCTTGGGTCCTGGACGTCAGCGGCAGCAGACGCGGGAAGTCTGAAACTACGGCTTGCGCTGCCGAGGTGGAGGAGTGTGGATCAATACCAACATGCCAGAATTGCTGCAAGAGCCACCTGTCAGAAATTCTTGACAGCATCAAAGGGGATCCCACACCTGTCTTAAGTAAGTAGATGCTTTAGAGCGGCACTCCTTCAGGTTAGGCCTGCCCGAGTATGCAAGCGTCGTGGGCTTGTCAAGGGTGGGGGCCTTGCTGATGGCTGAAGCATTTGAGAATGTCTGAGCATGAAAATTGTCAGGATGGCCATAGCTCCAGACAGCTCTGCCTGCTTGGCGTTTGCACAAAGGATCCAAGCCTCTACATGGTCCGATGCAAAGAGGATTCCACACCTTCAGATCACCGAAAGACTGCCTGCAACGACTGAGGCCGGTGAGGACTTTGGCACTGCCATAAGGTACGGCCCGGATTGCAATGAATCTGTCATGGAGAAGGCCAAAGAGCTGACTCTTAGCTGTCTTAGCTGAGATTTGGGCAAGAGTGCACAGAGGAGCTATTCGGATGGAAGTGCTTGTCCAAGGATGGCAGTGCACAAGGACGACCCTGATGCACAAAAGGTGGATGCTGTAGTTGCACCCTGGATGAAATCGTGCCTTAGTCGGTCAACCTTGCATTCGAGCCCATGCAGTTGGGCGCACGCCCAATCTGGCCGTGACAAGCCCAGGCGCTCACACACCAGGATTTGGCACTGGATGTCGAGCTGCTCGGAGATTATGCAGCAGTTCCTGCTAGACATTTATTTGCATTGCATGACAACCACGTGATCGCTGCTGGAGGCTTGCTGGAGGGGCTCGGTCGCTGGGTGTCCTTGCAGCCCCTTGAAGGCAACCTTTTTGTGTTGCGCATTGGCGTGTCCTTGGACGAAGACAGGAGTAGGTACATTGCCGCGAGAAGATGTGGTCATGCCCATGCGTACTTGTGTCTGAGGTTCTTGGCGGTCACGACCACACGGAGTACATCGACCAGCACAATGGCTGCGTCCTTCTGAAAACAGGCCATCTCGCCGTAGAAGAAAGCCAAAAGAATCCCAGCTCTGACCTAGCTCGGCTGACGGCCTTCAGGAATGGATGCTCAACGTGTTGGCGTCATTGATCTGCTGTGGAAGAAGGAGAAGGAGAAAGCCTGCTGTGCAGGGGAGGCTTTTAGACAATCAGCCACAATTCCGGCATAAATGGAGCTTGGGACTGTGAACCAAGCAGAATCTTCGGGGTCTACCAACCATTCACGAGCAGTACAGGAACGGTTCTCCGTTCAGTTCAAATATTGACATTGCCAGGACAGCACACCAACAATTGATTTTTTCGAGCTCATTCCATTGGCCAACTTTACTACCAGCAAGGCCGTCACTTGGCGTTAAGGTTTCTGGCTTCAGGCTGCGTTGGCAGGAGCGGAGTCTTGGTGAATCTTTATCTGCCTGGAGCTAAGGTCAGCAGGTCTGTCCAAAAGCACATGAGGAAGCTCTGGAATCTGGAAGAGAAAAAGGCCCGCGTTCACCTTGCCATCTTTCCAGACAAGCCGGTCATGTCATCCAAGAGCATCCGACAGAAACAGCCGGCTTCTCAGCATGCCTGGGTTGCAGAACCATGGGTCCGAGCTTCACGACCGACAAGGGGGCAGGTCAGTTTCACAGCCAAGGCACTGCTGTTGTCGATGTTCTTTGCCTTCATAATTGACTCAGGACCACACTGGGGTCGTTCTTGTGCAGCGCCCTCCGGGATGAGATGCAGGTTGATTGCGTGCTATTCGATGGGGGCAATATCCGAGGAGCCTGCAAACGGTGATGATTGCACGATCTCGGAGATAGACTTGCGATTCTCTTACACGGTCATGTGCTTCCAGAAGCAGACATCTTGCAAGGAGATCGAGACTACATCCCGAACCCGGAGCACTACCTTGGCCAGCGCTGGATCTTCACCCTCTCTGACTTGGAGCTAGCTCGACTCTGAGCAATTTGGGGTTCAGCTAGACCTTTTGTCAGGAGGAAGCACAGTGCGCTTGCCACAGGAGCTTCCCTGGGAGTCTGGAATGGTGGAGATTGCCCTGGGCTTGGTGGCAAGTGTTCAGTGTCTCGCAGACCGCATGAGGAGATGCAGCTTATCAATGCTTGGCAGGTGCTTGATGGGGAGCAGATCGCACGCGCGGTGCGTCTCTCCCGAACGCTGAAGCCAGGCTCTGGGGGCTTCCTGCAAACAGATGATGGTATTTGGGTCAGCGAAGATGACCAAGCAGAAGTGTCGGGTCAGCACTTGGACAGTTTCCAGACGTTCCGTCAGCTTTCAGTAGCTTGGCTGCTGGCAAGGTCACGCACATTGCCAACGAGCAGTGGAAGAAGGAACGCAAGTATCGAGACTTGACTTGCCGATGTTGCATGCAGTGACCTGCATGGCTGCGTGACATGCATTTTCAAAAGGGCAAGAGTGTCTGAGGAGTGGGCTTAATGCACAGCTCCCTTGTTGGCATGAATCACAATCCAGTATTCGAGGCGCGTGTGGGCTACAACGCTGTAACAGGTTGATCTTGCTTGATAGAGCCACTACAAGGGTAAAAAGGTTCTATGAAGCCTATCAGGTTGATGCGGCTGTATCAGTAGCCATGGTCCAATTTGGTGAACAGATTGCGGGATCTGCTTGCCGGTCAACCGAATCAACCACGGAAACCGAGCCGAAGCAAAGTTACAAAGTCACAAGCTTTGCGTCCCTTTTTATGTAGAAAGCTACACGAGTTCGGCAAAGGTGCTTGCACGAGAGCCACAGTCTTCGTGGAAGCTATGGCACTTTAGGATAGTTGGGGGTGTACAACACGTCTTCTGAATCCTATGTTTTTTTTCATGTTTGCTATCCTGCTGCAAGCGAAAGCGACCTGCTTGCAGTTCTGCTTTGAATTCTGTGAGGGGTGAAGGTAAGTGGACGGTGGATGGAGGAAATCCTGTATCACTTTCAACCTCCAAAATACTGTAATCATGGGTGTGGGGAGTAATTGGAGGTGGTGCAAGATTTCCTCCATCCACAGGAGCACAGCGTTTATATGTGTTTCTTTTTGCTCACATGCTTTTGAAGTCGCCTCATGAACAGCGCTCGTGCTCTCGCTTGCTTGACGGGTGGTGAAGCAACAGTCAGGATGGATGCGTTCAGAAAATTGGCAATTCAGCGCTCAAAACGGTTTGCGAGATGCGCATGACTTGTGGCAGGAATGGCGCAAGCGGCATACTAGCCAGATCCCAAAGGACATGCAACATGGCTTGGATGATTCTGATTGCGGGCCTTGAGTTCATCCGTTCAACTTCTCATGCAGGAGGACTCTGGAAAGTTTGCAAAGGAGTTGCTGAAAAAGCAATTGGCTCGTCGACTCTGGGATGCTTGACCAAATATTGCATGCAAAGAGCAAGGATTGTGTGATATCCTGTGTAGCAGTATGTATATGAAGTCTTTGATGCAGAATGCCTTGGCAGTCCCATTTGCTTCTTTCGACTGGGCATGCTCCATATTGCTCCATGAAGGCTTTTTGTCAAGATTCCTGTCCTGGTGCTTAGTTAGATGTGTGATATCTTAGGATCAGCTGCCAGAGTTCCACGAGATGAACATGTCGCGGACAGGGGCCCTTTCGAAAGAGAAAGTGATGGAAGCCTACAAGAAAACATTTCCGGAGGGTCCGGAGGTCTCAACCTAAGTGGAGGTTCTTTCAGTGGATGTTGAAGCTGTCCTGCCCTGAAACTCAGGCTGCAGTAGAACCGTCTGTGGACCAACTCATGGTCGTCGCAGACTTTGCTCAAGCCCGAGCTTTCGCTACGCAACTGACAAGATTGCACGACAGTGGCTACCCACTCGTTGGCCAATGTTTGCCGTCTTGCTCAGGGTGAAGCCGGCGAGCTCTCAGCGGCGAGTTATGAGAGCATATTCAGGTGGCCAGCTGGGGAGTGCCAAGAGCAACGCTCCACGGGGTTGGCTACATGGGTATTGGTCTAAATTC